TTCGTCCACAGACTTTTCGTCCACAATTTTTACGCCCACAGTTCTAAAGCCCACAGTTCTAAAGCCCACACTGTTGTTAAGTCCATTACTTAAACGTCCACTAAGTTAAGTCCACAAATGTAAAGTCCACTAAAATCAAATTCAAGCGTTATATTTTAGTCCGTTAGTTCAGTCCGCATTGCGCAACGCGTGAAGTATCCCGTTAGGTTTGTAGGCGCCTGTGCGCGTGTCACGCTGGTTGCCTGCCGCGCCGCAAACGCTTTAAGCAACTATTTCGCGTCAGAGGCGTTGCACAGTATCCTACAAGATTGAAGGCGCACGAAAGAACTAGTTAAAGAGGACTTTCAATTTTGACAGCATCTGTTACTGAAAAATGTTTAATTTGGCATTGGAGCGTTTCCTAGGCTCCCGCCTCGGTTTTCATCTTAGCATATCCGTACAGTGTACACATGAACATATGTTTTTATCTGCTCTTAGAGTCTGTTTTCTTTCATGACTTGATTCATGAATAAAATGTTTTTAAGAATGAAGGTAGTAGTAGTATGCATTTATTTTTGAGGTGGTTCCTGTCATTTAAATGAGAAGAAAAAAATGTGGACAATTTGGACAATTTTGGACATATTCATGGTTGGACATTAAATCCAGTAGACTTAATATAGACTGGACTTAACGTTTAGTGGGCATAAATAGCGGTGGACATTCATTTCATGGACGAAAGGTAGGTGGACTTAAAGTCCTGGAAGCATTTTATTTTTAACAGGCAACTTAATAACACTAGATTTTGCTATTTTGTGAGGATGGGGAAAGGTAAGTTGGGTCCCAAACGATCTTTTAAGGGTAAGTTGAGTCCCGTCAATTAATCACCCATAGGTAAATTGAGTCCCGTCAATTAATCCCCCATAGGTAAATTGAGTCCCACTGTATTTGCGTTGGTGGGAATAAATAAAAATACGAAGGCATCGTCAACATCTCCTTCACTTAAAAATGGCAAGCCGAAGAAATATGTATTTTAAATAATTGCTGAGTTCAGATCGAGAGTCTTTATACACGGTCACTAAGCCGCACTTTTGTATGTGGCGCCACCAACTCTGCCCAAGATGAAAGCAACATCCCTTAAGTCTAACATTCGGCCATACTCAACGAGCTGCTTTGTGTATACCTTCTTCGAAGTCCAAAAGAACTTCTTTCGGTTGGAACTTTAAACCTAAATATTCACAGCGCTTGACGACAAACCGAAGTGCTGTTGCGTACGTATCAGTTTTTTTTTGTCAGGCAATAGCAAGAAAACCAATGGAACAAACGACCTTTGTAGTAACCATGAATCGTGAATACTTGCAGATAAAATTTAAGCTTTTTACAATCACTTAACTTCACAAAACATTTACTTCATTTCTTGCCTCTCACGCACACTCTCCCATCATCACACATACAGTGATAATGCTACCGGGACTCAATTTACGTACTAGCAATTAGGAGTCGGGACTCAATTTACCTTCTCCCCTAATGACCTCAATGCATTGGGACTCAACTTACATTCGTCCGTGAGGATATCCTACGTAATCCAGGTTAATTTATGCAGAGTTTAAAGGCGTAAGGTATTTTAGTTGTCTAGAAAAAAAAAAACACACGAGAAAAACGTTTAAAAGACGATGAAGGATTCCGAAAAATTTTAAATTATAGAACAAATTCTTGACTTGCAAATGCTGCAATAGATTCAGCATGCCTAGGATAAGATAATAAACTAGTACTAAAGTTGGGGTGAGAATAAATAAAAGATCGTTTAATTTTTCTAGTGTAGGAACACAAGTGTCTATTAAAATATTCCTCAGATTTTACACTTAAAAAATTTGAGGTCTGATGATACATTAAAGGAATTCAATGAATTAATTATAGTATGAATAACGGGCAACTTAGTTGTTGTAAGGCAGTGTGATAATCACATGCACCCAGAACCACAGTAATTTTACGTTAAAAATACTTTCCTCAAAGTAAATTCTTTTCAGTAAAACTAGGCAAGTGAAATAGAAGGTAATAGGCATGACGAAACCTGTTAATTGTAAAATATGATGCTTCAAAAACAATTTTTCTAGGATGAACAGTATCGCAAAATCAAAATAATAGAAATATATTGAAGAGGATGATTTTTTAATGTAATCTGAGTACAGAAAGAATATAAGCATCTTGCTTTTTTATTTATTCCAGTATTTTAACGACTTCATTTCGTCAGAATTTTAAATAAATAATTATTCTAAACGAACCTTCTGTAAAATCCATAAGCGTTGTTTTACAGTAAAAACCAAGGCAAATGTGAAGATGGTTAGGTTACCAAATCATGTGAAGCTGACTTTGGTTTTAGGCAATTAACAAACAAGGCAATGTGACGCTAGACAGAAAATAGTGGTTTTAGAATCACAGACAAAGCTTAATTTTATTAATTTTTCAGTTCTATGAAAAACTGTCCGAGAGGATAAAAATTAGATATAGCTGATAAAGAAAACCAAAAGAATTTACAATTTTAATCTAAAAACTAAGATTAGACAACATTTTCATAAAGTTTATTCCCATATTCTACTAAAAATGGCATATTAAGACCAAGTTACGTAAGGAGCAGCTTATGTTTCGACAATAATGTATAATGAATGATTGGGTGTGTCGGAGTGACAGCAAAATTTTAGTAGCTCTTCTCAGAAAATTGGATTGAGACGATAGATTTTACGGCTATTAAAAACCGCTGTCATTGCATTTGGTATGAATTGATAAGCTCAGTTAACCAAAAATAGATGTCTCCATCAATAAACAGACTGAAACTCGCATAATCAGTTCATATGTCATCAATTTATCTATCGCTACGTTGACAGAGGGTCGTTGAATTTGGAAAACACTCATCTTCAATTTTCTGCTATGATTCACTAGTACCTACCTTCAATATTTATTTGACTCACCTCTTTACCCCTCCTTATCTCACTATTCGGATCAAAGAGTAAGGGTAGTTATGGAAAAGCTCCTAGCAGCCAACTGGCAGCAAATCACATTTTTTGGCTAAATTTATCTCTAACACCGGTCATCAAATTCACAACCTCATCATCACAGATCTGTTAGGAGACGTTCGTATATTAAAAGTAGATGTCAAGCAATGGATTTGATTTTTGATACCCTCTCCCCTTCTACAAATTAAATTTTGCTGAGAACACCCTTCCATCTAATTTTTAGGGAAAGAAAACGTCAAAAATGTAAATTATACTTTTTTTGTCCCTTCTCCTTATTAAATGTTCAAACTACGATAAGCGTTCCCAACCGTACGCAAGGTTTGACTTGAAACTCCTGTCCCCTCGGCTCAGCACTTGACAGGGACCTCTTGACCTACCGTGGGTGTCACACATTATTAATGAAAAACACTTTCGATTATACATGAATTATGATGAGAAAATTGTCAACTCGCTACTGGCAAGGTGATTCTAAAGAATCTAGGGACGAGATCAGTCACTACGTTGCGCTGCTATGCGGTTTATGTCTTTAAGAAGCAATACTCATGGTAAAGTAAACATTAATTTTAGATATTGACCCATAACGTGTACCGGTATTGAGTGGTGTAACATTAAATTTATGAAGATTTGTTGAAAATTGATTACGAAAATTACGAAAACTGACTTCTATCATTCAACCCCCGATGTGTAAGAAAGAGAGATATTTGATATTATGCTATCTCCATCTTACACATTGAATCATTGAACAAGAAAAAAACACTAAGAAATGACCCGAACTGTATGTAACAAGGTGGTGAAATGGTGCTGGGTCCACACCATTTCGCGGGGAAAACAAAACCAAAAAGTTCAATTATGGAGTCAAAATATTTTTGAACTCTAATAAATACCAGTCCGAGACTGAGCGAATCATTGAATCAAGTTCCTTTTGTAATTTTTTATCAAATTTCAACGAATTCTCACAAATTTAATGTCATAACTACTCAGTATTAATGCTGCTACATTGCGAGTATAGAACACATGTGTTTCGACGGGTAATGCTGCCCGATCACGTTACAATAGGGCAATGAATTTTCTCAGTTTTCAATTTATTTTTATAAAATTTCCCATTTGAGAAAAAAATTATAAAAAATATTGCGAATTTAGCGAACCAAGCACTCTCAACTGCAACAATTATTGCTCCTCAAAGACAGACCGTGTAGCAGTGCAGACCGCCTATGTGATCTAGATCACATAGGCGGATCCAGATGGGAGGGCATAGGGAGCGCACGCCTTTTTAGCTGGCCCGGGAAGAAAGGAAGGAAAAGAGAAGGAAAAAAGGAGGAAGAGACGGTGGAAAGAAGGAAGGAACGCAGGAAAGAAGATGGAAAAACACTTACATTCGGCAACTATTCATGATGAAATTGACTCAAACTGATTGCAAAAATTTGTAAATATTCCGGGGGAGGCCCCCGCACCCTCTTCTCCCCTCCTCCCGATTTGAGGTATCTGGATCCGCCAGTGGCGAGGCGTGAATGATTGATTATCGATATTTCTCCATTTGTAGCTATGGTAAAGAATCGACCCTTAAGGTGTTGGCTGCGAACACCTTGTCTATCGATCCTTTCTCATAGGTTTAAATAGCAAATCAATCGATATATCGCAAAGCACGCCCCGCCACTAGGATCCGCCAGAGTACCTATTTAAGAGAGTATGGCCGCACTGGTGTTATCACCTCTGATTGGCTCAGCCGTCTTAGGCTGAATGGAGCCCTTAGGACCCAAAAATGGCGGACGCCATAAGTTAATGTAATGCAAAATGACTCAAAATGTAGTTTTCTTTGCTCATCGTAACGAGAAATTTACCCAAATGCACTATTGCGACTTCTTTACATATTTTTGCGGCTAATCGTGTGCAATTTTCGAGAAAAATTATCTTAGATGTAGTATTAAGGTTGGCAGCAAGTGCGGTTGGTGATAACCGTCAAAAGTTGGCAATGACCCCCTCCCATCCTCAAAAACCAAAACGAAGCACCGCCATTTTTGGGTCCTAAGCCTCTCCATGGGGCCCAGTGGTCATACTCTCTTAATATAGGTACTCTAGGATCCACCTATGCTTGATCACTTAGAATTCCTAAAAGAAGGATCTGAAGACATGATGAACTATTCAGGAGGGCGGCAGCCAGACGTCGCCATGAATCCCTAAATTATTCAGCAACATATTATTGAGGACCTCGTCGGACATGTGCTGGTTCTTGGCGAAGACCTCCTTGGCGACCTTGAGGTACCTGCCGACGGCGGTGACGACAGGCCGGATCTCGCGGTCGTTGAAGAAGAGGCTCCCGGCGTTGGTGTCCCGGAGGTCGGGGCGGCGGGCGTCCCTCGGGGAGTGCGGGTAGGCCCTCACCCAGTCGCCCTCCTTGGCCTTGGGGCAGGACCAGTCCCGCCCGTTGCCCCACACCCAGAGGTCCGACATGGAGCCCTTCTTCTGCCCGTAGTTGAAGGTTCGTCGCGGTTGGACCCGCACGTTGTCCTCGCTGCAGGTCGCCCGGCTCGTCGTGCTGTCCGGGTAGTCTTCGCCCACGGTGATTGCTGGTAGGTTCGCTTTTGTGCGGATCTGGTGAAATCAGACGTGTAAAATTTTGTGAAACTTTATAGAATGAAATTTCATCATGGAAGTTTTTAAAGCTCTTGCCATGGATTCAGCATTCCACGAAACGCGAAGAAACGGTGAAGTCTTGATTGGACTGCGCATAATTAACAGAAAGGAACCAAGCCACAACAGCGATTGTCAAATTTAACGGGGCAATTCGCTTTTTCACATGAGACTGTTTGTGCGGACTCCTTTGAAAATTTTAGGAATTTACTTCGTACTATGCAGAAAATTCACTGACATTTACACAAAAATCCGCACAGCCGTTTTCATTTAGAAAATAAATTGCCCAATTATATTTGACATCAACTGATGTGGTTTGGTTCCTTTCTGCTTAACACGGCCCATACATGAAATTTTGGAAATAAATACACATGAATGAAAGGGCCGTTTTTGGGCCCATCCTGAAGTTTTTCAACTTTAAGATTTTTTGCTCATTGAAAGTTTGTCTACGGAATGTATGACAATTTGATCATTGCCGGTCTCTCTTGGGTCTACTCCGGGCCTTAATTGCTGAACATGTGGGCCAATTTTGGCGAACAATGCGGGTTTTGCTGGTTTGTGGTCGAATGCCGAAAAATCAGCATTTCTCGCCAAATCGACCCTCAGACCCATGTTTATGCCAGTTTCAGACTCAAAAAGAGACCGGAAATGATCAAATTATAATGCATTCCTTAAAATATAGACCTATATGGCAGCAAAAAATCGTAAAGTTGAGGAAGTTTAGCCAAGGCAGGCCAAAAAAAACTTCCCTGTCGAAACTCCACGACCTTCCGAGGTTTCCCATCGAGTCCTTGGACAATATTTGCAGGTTGCATACGCAGCCCCTGAAAAATCGGGAGAAAAAAATCCCGGGAGGGAAAAATTCCTGGGAAATGAGATAAACATGAAATTTTATACAAAATATCATTGAATTGTATGTATAAATTCAGCCGCCCAACCAGTCGCTTTCAAATGCATGTATACGTGCTTCTGCAAAACTGCAATATATAATTGATGATGGATTTTATGAGGAGGTTGCGTCGTAATGTTTCTAAAATTTTGTACATCGACATCGAAGCCTCAGAAGAGCAACGAACAGAGCTGTGTTTGATAGTCGATGAATATCACACTACATTGCCTTGATAGTGCTGAGGCTTATTTATCGCCTTCAATTCCCCGTGATGCAAAATTACTTACACTTCTTCCTATTTTTCCCATCACTCGTGGATTCGACGGAGTTGTGTGCATTTGCGCATTAATTTCGGAATGGACCACTAGACAAGTTACGAATTCCAGCATTCTGATACATGTTTCGTAACAAAAATTTCACGTAAAACACGATGCGCACAACAGAAATTACCGAAATTAACTCCCTACGAAGATATTTAATGATTCTTGATGCGTTAATTCAAACCACCCGCTCATGAAAACTCAATGCTCTACGTGATTCACATTGTGCGCTAAACGTTATCATGACAGTCTATGCGATATGAAAATCTGACAACCCCGATCCTGACGCTTTGGCTCAGCTATAGCAAATTACTCATAGTTTGAAGAACACATGGTGGGAAATGAACATTGCTCGATTGAGAAGCTTGCTGAAATCGTTGTAGTGCGCGATTTGACTCACGTAGAGCTTTGAGTTTCTTGTGAGCGGGCAGTTCAAATTCCTCGTAACCAATGTGAAATAAAAAAGTTAATATCTTCGTTAGGAGTTGGTTTCAGTAATTGTCGTTGCGCGAATCGTGTTTTACGTGAAATTCTGGTTAAGAAACAAGTATCAGATTGCTTAAATTCGTACCTTGTCTAGTGGTCCATTTTGTGCGGCTATCATCGTAAGAGGGTTACATTGACCGCATACACACTCCCAGGAATTGTTTTATTAGTATTATTTTGTATTTTAAATGACGCCACGATATTCTGACGATATGACTGAGGAATACATGGACCGCGTTTAGCAGGAAGAAACTAAGCCACATCTGCTGTTGCCAAATTTAATTGGGCAATTTTATTTTTTACAAGAGAACGTTTATGTGCATTCCTTTAAAAATTTTAAGGAATTTCATTCAATCTTGTGGAAAATTGACTGAAATTTGCACAAAATTCCGCACAACCGTTTTTATGTAAAAAATTAAATCACCCAATTAAATTTGGCAATAACTAATGTGGCTTGGTTCCTATCTGCTTAACTCGGTCCACTTGGACTACATTCTACAATATGGAACTACTTTACGCGGCTCATTATAGAGGCACCGTATGTGTCGTTGATTTCCCTATTCAGATGCGCGATTTCATGGATGAGACAGAAACAGTAGTTCCTTATAGCAAAATGTAATTCATTTTTATTGAAGCAAATGTATGACATGAACAAGCAGGGCCCGTAGTTTTCCTTAAAAACGCAAAGACAATTTTTGGTAAAGCCACACTCACTTGCGTACAAAATTGTCTTTGTGTTTTTAAGGAACTTTAACTTGTGTAGGCCCCTAATGGTACCCGTAGTTTTAGTTAAAGTATACTTGCCTGTCTAGTTTTTAGTCTGGTCTTTCGGGTCTGACCGGCCTCTCTGTCATTGGCGATGTTGGCCGGGTTTGGCGATGTTCTGGGCGGTGTTGGTTTGTCCATCTCGTTGTCATTGATGTCCTTCTGACAAACGCCTACACTATTCACCCCGGAGCAATTTTTCTTCACAGTCCGGTGTTTCTCCTTGCACTGTTGCCGTTTCCGCCATTTTTTCGCCACAGTCACAACGTTCACCGCCGTCCGCGGTCGCGGATCATCACGTGCCGAATGGACCTGTGATTAAAATATTTAAATTTTTTCCATCTTTCTTTTCTTTTTTTGGCTGATAATAGTTCCTTCTTCTACAGGGGAGAAGTAGAGAGAAAAGAAGAAGAAAAAAAAGAACCGCTTTGATGGCTAAAGTGCGAAACTACGTATCTCCATTGTGGTATTTCAAAATTTCCGCTCCTATTTAATTTTTTCGATGAAAAATAAGCGAACTTTATAGCTTGGAATTTGTTTCGAATATTATGCTTACGGAAAGGAAAAACCGGGGAAAGTATATTCAAGAAATTACGTTGACTAGATTTCCAAGAAAAAACTAAGTAAGACAGACAGTCTGCAACGTCACAAACGGTGATACGTGGGTTCGCACTTTAGCCATTGACTTATGATCAACTACGGGGCAGATAAAATTGAATTATTGATATCAGAGCAGAGAGGTGTCATTCACGAACAATTCAGCATGGAAGAACATCGAAACAATTTAAAAAAATAAACCAATGGACCACTAGATAAGGTACGAATTTCAGCATTCTGATACATGTTTCTGAACCAAAATTTTACGTAAAATACGATGCGCACAACGAATATTACCGAAATCAACTCCTTACGATGAGATTTAATGATGCTTGATGCGTGAATTCAAACCACCCGCTCATGAAAACTCAATGCTCTACGTGATTCACATCGCGCGCTAAACGTTATCATGACAGTCTCTGCGATAAAAAAAAATTGGCAACCTCAATCTTGACGCTTTGGCTCAGCTGTAACAAATTGCTATTGGTTTGAACAGCACGTGGTGGGAAATGAACAATGCTCGATTGAGAAGCTCACTGAAACCGTTGTAGTGCGCGATTTGACTCACGTAAAGCTTTGAGTTTCTTGTGAGCGGGCAGTTCAAATTCCTCGTGACCAATGTGAATTAAAAACATTAATATCTTCGTTAGAGGTTGGTTTCAGTAATTTTCGTTGCTTGAATCGTGTTTTACGTAAAATTCTGGTTAAGAAACATGTATCAGATTGCCTAAATTCGTACCTTATTTAGTGGTTCATTTTTTCTTTGATCTATGATCGCAATTACAGAAAAGTTCGGAAATGCCTATTAATATCAATATAATATTATATCGTAATTATTGGAGTGGAGTTAATCGAATGCATTTAAGCTGAAAGGGACTGCGTGCAAATGAATTTGAAAAAAAAAGGAAATTTGTGAGAGTTGCTTGCAGGCTGGAAGGTTCCTCTCGATTTAGGTTATTTGCGCATAGTTCCTTGCAGCATGTATGAACCAACTTTAGGACTATGTACGTCGTAAGTATTTGATAAAAGTGTAAATTATTATTCGGGCTCAATTTCAGTAAATTTGAAGAGGGGTGTTCGACCCTTGGATGCAGCGCAATTACTTGAATAATTGCTTTAAACGCAGGGATCCACGCGTACAAATCCTATTACCAACATCATCCCGTAAAGTTATATCATTTACATGACGCAGTGAGCTCTCTTTCACGAACAGGCGATGCGTAAATTCCACACCCAACACCGTCCTCGATACGTAGTACGGTGAGCTGGACTAATTTACGACACACGAGGTAAAATGGGTCTTTTTGCGTTTTGCGTTTATATTTGATCAAAGTTTCGACGCAAAAATATGTCGTAGATTCCAGGCACTTCAGGAATGAAGTGGCTTAGGGTCGTGTTTCCAGTAGTTCCTTAAACAGCCTCTTTCCCTAGGATTTCTAGAACTTTTAAAATTTTTAGAATTCGTAGAACTTCAGCGCGGATCTCTTTGAAAATTAATTCGCCGAAATTTGCACAGAAATCCGCACAACCGTTTTCATGTAAAATATTAAATTACTCAATTAAATTTGGCAATGGCTCATGTGGCTTGATTCCTTTCTACTTAACGCAGTCCAAATAGCGTTCTCAAATGAATCAGTGAGAACGAAAACACACCAAATCGAAAAAAATGAAAATAATCAAGATACATACAAAACTACACAGAAATTAGTCTGATAAAACGATTTTTGGTACCTTAAGGCAAGTACTTAAGAACACTTTAAATGTCCGAGTTGGAAGAGTTGCGGTAACTTCAATGCCCTTTATGAAAATTGACTGTCTTTAATGAAAAGTGAACATTTTCGAGCTACCAAGTTGGTGTGTTTTCGTTCTCACTGATTCAAATTGTGAATATTCCGCGGAGGAGGCTCCTTCAATTTTTTGAATAGGTAACTATTGCTGCAGGCAGGATGTCTGTAGTATACCTTCCCAATTGGAGGCGCGGTTCAGGGTATTTACGTGCAGCAGTGGCATCCAACCATGTTTTTACCTGAGGTTCAGTACTGGCATAGGATTCATCATCGGTCTGGTTGCAAGGTTCCTCGTCATCGACGCTCTTCCACGTCTTTAAACTCTCCCGTCGGATGGCGTCCTCCGACCAGAGGGTGAAAAGGGACAGACCCGTGTTGCAGACCGGCAGCCCGAGGAGGTCGAACAAGTCGTGGAGCATTGGTTTCTTCACGGCTGGATCCACATCACAGTCGTTGCCTAGGGCTGGGCTTAGGTTAACCTAAAAAAGGAGAGAAAAAAATCAACGCACATTGAAAAAAAACTCCCGCCGTGGAAGCCGCACTTACGGGCCACATGCCGTTCGCTCTCCAGGCTCAGAGGCCGAAAGTTCCGGGCGTAGCACCCGGAGCAATATATGCTACGGCNAAAAAAAAAAAAAAAAAAAAAGCGTACGGTGAATATCAAAATCATCGGCAGGAATATTTGGACAACACTTTGCATTCAGGAACTATATCACGGCGTAAGTATTCCCAGTCACGTATCACGGTTTGTGACGTTGCAGAATTCCTATCATATATTATATTTTAATTGGAGGACTACTCAATGGCAACTATTGAAAACTGTCGGGATTTCTTTTCTCGGTGCGAAGCAAATTGTGCGGAAACTTCAAAGATTAATGTAGATTTTTTATCCATTAAAAAAAAAATAAAAAAAAAATAAAAAATAAAATAAAAAAAAAAATAGGAGCGGGGATTTCCAAACACCGCAAACGAGATACGTGGTCGCGGGTCTTCACCGCCGTATTTTATTTTGTTAAAAGAAAACAAATCGACATTCTTTCTTGAAGTTTTCGCAGAATTTTTTTCACACAGAGAAGAAAAAACACGATAGTTTTTTAAGAATTGCCGTTGAGTAGTTTTCTCTTTGAAAAATAAAGTATAANTGGGCCGCGGAGCGGCCAGGGGGCGGAGCCCTCTAGTTTTGTTAAAAGAAAACAAATCGACATTCTTTCTTGAAGTTTTCGCAGAATTTTTTTCACACAGAGAAGAAAAAACACGATAGTTTTTTAAGAATTGCCGTTGAGTAGTTTTCTCTTTGAAAAATAAAGTATAAAAGGAAGTCTGCAACGTTGCAAACCGAGATACGTGGTTGCGGGCGGACTCAAACCATCAATACCTCTTTGATAAAACTATTTGCATGGAGAACCTATTGACTCATACGTTGTTTCTAAAATAAGCCAAAATTGGACCACGTTAAACAGAAAGTAACCAAGCCACATCAGCTATTGCCAAATATAATTGTGCACTTTAATTTTTGACAATGAAACGGTTGTGCGGATTTTTGAGCAAATTTCAGTGAATTTTTTGCATAGTACGAAGCAAATTTCTTAAATATTTCAAAGAAATCCGCATGAACGTTCTCTCGCAAAAAATTAAAAATCGCGGTTAAATTTGGCAGTAGCTGATGTGGCTTATTGGCTCCTTTCTTTTAAACGCGGTCCAATTAGTACCTATTCATATGAATATTTTTGTCTCTCTAAAATGATCGGTGTTTATGAGTTTTTCAATAAAGTTCACACACTTAAAGTAATCTGATTAAAGTTTTCGTCGCCTAATTTTCTTGTAAGGTTCTGTCTCCATGTAAGGTTATCTGGCCAAAAGCCACGGACTCCTACCTCCAGAAGCCAAGGGTTTAAATTTGAGTCCAGGAGGATATCAAAACCGTAGAATTCGAAACAATTATTCGTGCTCGGGACCCCATTAATTTGGCTAACAATGGTAAGGACGATTAACGCTGATATCCTCTGCCAAATTAGCCAGTCTGGAATGAACGCTTGATGAAAGTAATGTCGAAGCTGTTTCAGATTCCACTTACACCCTAAAACAAGAAGATAAAACATTAATCATTAACTGAAAACTTTCACAGATGATTGAAGACTTTCCGCATTCAATGCCTACTAACTTGTGTGGCGGTGAATAAAGGCTGAAATAACTCGGAGATTGAACAGAGTTTGACGATCGTGGAGACTTAAGGTTTTATCGACAGTTCATTCAGGTCCACTTATGAATGTTCATCTAATTTGAAGCATGACTTAACAGAGCGTTCAGGGCCGGATTAAGAGGGTGGCCGGCGGCAAATTTAGGGGGCGGCGAATTTTGAAATTTTTTTAAATGCAGGTACAAAAAAATCGGATTCAGAAAAAAAAATCATCAATAAGAAAAGGAAATAAAATCGCTTTTCCCTGAGAGTATATTAATTTCTAATTTTGTCGTTTTTCGGTGATACAAGAGACAGTATCCTTTAATTATTCGAGTTAAGAGAGGAACTAAACACGCAATTTGGCCTGGAGCTCAGCTCAGAGAGGAATGATGACGAGGACTTGAGATGAAAAGGACAAGCCCTCAGCGCGGCGGTCGGCATGGAACACATATTAGCGCCTACAAGACTGCATGGATACTTCACGCATCGCGTCAAACACAGTGCGGTCAGGAGCGGTTGGCGTGAAACAAATAGCGCCTACAAGACTGCAGGAATACTTCACGCATTGCGCCAAACATAGTGCGTGCGATCAGCGCAGCGACGGAAGTTAAAATTATTAAATCACATTTATGTTTGTTCTTTCATAATTTTTTGGTTCATTTCTTATGAATGGAGGACCTTGTCCACACAGAGATAGGTTTACGGAACCTAACTTTCGCGTCAAGTTCCGTGAAATTTTGCAGCTTTTGAAATGTATCCAACACGAGCAGGTAAACGCGTCTTATGCACCCCTCCCCCTCCGGCACGTTCACTTGATGGTTTTTATTGATGTTTTAAAACGAATGAGAAGGGGGCGGCAAGTAGGTAAATCCGGCCCTGAGAGCGTTTATAAAATTCAGTGTCACTGGTTGCATCAATCACATTTTTAATTTATTCAGTGGGATGAATTCAAAGCTTTTACCTAATTTGTGTTCCTGATAAGACCATTGGCAGAACTAGAAATTGTTCATAGAGGGGAGCATTACAGAAAGAAGGGTTAAAAGAGGGTTTTATCAAAGGGGGTCGAAGGATTTCCTAGATCATGTGTGGGAGCTCTGGGAGCCCCCGGAAAAATGTCGAATAATAAAGTCACTTCAAACTCAATTTTGATCTGTTCATAATAATTCCTTTTTTAAAATAGAATTTCTAGGGTGAGGGTATATTTATCTGCAATAAATATCATGAAGAAGGGAAAACCAAATAGAAAGTAGAAATAATTGACAACATATAACAAATAGAAATAATATATAGGTATGAAAGAGAGGAACATTTGGATTACATTTTGCAATAAAGAACCACTATCTCTGGCTATTTCATAAAAGCACGTATCTGCATAAGGAAACCAGTGACATGTATGTTATTTCTATAATGAGCCGGAAATAGTGGTTCTTGATTGCTAAATGTGGTCCCTCTCATCACGTTATCATCTTCACTTTAAATTATGTAGACTAATCATCTCCCCAAATAAAAGTGATCTTGTATTATTTTCCCCATCTTAAGACACATTTCTGCCGTCCTCAGCAAAAACGCCGTGAATCCATTCTAGATTTTTTCAGCTTTTTACCGAAAAAATGTTTTATTACCGAAAAACCAACGAGCATTTGGACTGCATTTTGCAATTTAGAACTATAAATTCTGTCCCGGTTTAAAGACAACGTATGTGCCATTAGTTTCCCCATGCACATAAGTATTTTTCAGATGAGCCAGGATTTATAGTTTCAAATTGCAAAATGCAGTCCATTTATCCTTCTTAGTTCTTCAATAACTGTGGCATACCACCGAGAATTCAAATTTACAAAATGATGCATCCTAGTGATCAAGTTTTCTCGTAATAGAACAGTATGAGCGGAACTCTGGTAAAAATTGGCAGTAGATTCTGTGTTCCAAAATACCATAGACCTACAGCCAGCTGTAAGATTTCCAATAGCTTCTATGGCCGGCTACACAATTTCTTAAAGCCTTTTATAGCCGATGGCGACTAAGCAACAGCCAGGCGATAAAGTGTATGCTAAACGTTACTAATTACGGATGCTAAGACTTAGTGAGTTTTTGGACTACCGCTCTCTTTTTGGGCCGTAGTATCTTGATTTATTTTGAGAGGAAAGCTCCGTACTTTTGAAGGATACCTGCCATTCCTAATATGTTGGAGTGCCTTCAGTTTCGTATGATACTGTGCAATACCTCTGGTGTGAAATAGTTGCTTCAAGCGCCGTGGTACGCTTCGGCGCGGCGCGGCGGGCGGGCAGCCAGCGCGGAACGCGCATTTAAATGAGAATAATCAATGCAGAGTGTGCAAACATTTCAAAATCATGAGTTAAAAAACGCTGATTATGCGAGTATAAATATTAGAGCCTAACAGAGCGGAGCGGCGTGCTGCCAGCGTGAGAGGCTCACTGGCGCCTACAAACCTAACAGGGATACTTCACGCATTGCGCAATGCGTGAAGTATCCTTGTTAGGTTTGTAGGCGCCAGTGCGCCGCCGCTCCGCTTTGTGTTAGGCTCTAATATTTAATCTCGTGGAGTCGGCGTTTTTCAACTCATGACTTTGAAATGTTTGCACACTCTGTATGGATTATTCTCATTTCAATTGATGAAAAAAAATAATGTGAGTTTTGTAAATATTAAGGTGATTCCGTACAAACCCAAGGATTTACAAAGCACACGGATTTCTACACAATTTCTTATAGCCTTTTATAGCCGCTGGCAAAAAAGCAACAGCCAGGCGATAAAGTGTAAAGCCCGGCGATAGGAAGTATAGCCCGGCTGTATAATTTTTTATGGCTTCGTGTAGCCCGGCCGTATGATTTTTTCCACTTTCTACAGCCAACTATATGATTTTCTATCGCCTTCTTCAGTCGGCTATAAGAACTCCTACGGTATTTTGAAACGCAGCTCCTATCGCCAATTTTTACTGGGGGGAAAAAATGCAAATTGTTGATTGGAGCTACGGAGTTTCTGCTGTGGACGGCAGATTTGGACTGCATTTTGCAATTTGGAACTATAAATTCTGGCCCGGTTTAAAAACAACGTATGCTCCATTGGTTTCCCTACGCACATAAGTGTTTTTTTCAGATGAGCCAGAATCTATAGTTCCAGATTGCAAAATGCAGTCCATTTATACCCAGGAAAAAGCGTCTTTGGGCGAGCTAACGACTCATCCGCGATTCAAAGCAGTGGCCGCCGCGCAGTGCAAGGCATAATGGGTGTCGAGGATAGCGTGATGGCATTATCTTTTACACGCTTATTATCCGCCCAGGAAAGACGTCTAGCCATGTAAATGTAATAAAAACCATTTCCCTCTTCCTCTGCTCGAATGCAAGCGCCAAATGCACGTTGAGTCATTTTTAGTTGATGCAAGTCAATCCACGTGCCCGTTTACCGTGCCGCTCCTTTTACGAGTTATCAACAGAATGTCACTAAAATGACCTTTGACATTTTTTATCATATTAGAACTTGGGAGGTTCGAAAATAAGGAAGTCGTTTTACACGGAGTCCATGAAAAATATCGTTATGGTGGACCTCGTGGATCGCACTTCGCAAAAAGGAACCAGGTTTTTGGGAAACAGATGCCTACTGCTCTGCCGTGCTGAGGAAAAACACCGTATGAACCTTCAGGCGTTGCCAAGTTTCCTCTGATAAAAACCGAGATTACTGGGAAAATTGTGAATATTAATTTCCAAAATTTTCAGAAAATTTAGTACGCAATTTAATCTAAAATATCTGAAAATTTCAAAGAAAAACATGCACGAATGTTGTCAAAAATATATGTTTTATCCAGGGTTTGGCACCTCTCGGATGTTCATGCGTCATGTGCACGGTAGTGCCAATGTAGGATGTCTTTTCTCCCTCTTATAAAGGGAAGGTTTGGTTTCAAAATTTTAATCTTAATAAACTGCAGGGTCAATGTTGGTTCATTTTTGACCAAGGAAGTGAATTTTTTTGGAAAAATAATTTTTTTGTTTTTTAAACTTTTAATAGCTTGGCCACTTTCTTCAAAATGCAAAACGAGCCAAATGACTGACGCTATGACTGTAGACTAAAGAAGGTAGCCCTTTTTTGTGTAGCCGTACTGTCTGCATACCGACTTACCGTGGCCGACTCTATCCTTAGTCTCGCAGTAGCCCGGGCCGAGTTTGTTGAGCGAGCAGTTGGTGAGATGCGCGAACAAGTTATCCAGGTGGGCCAGCGAGAACTTCTCGGTGGCGAATCGGGCGAGCCCTTCCCTGTAGATGTAGACTGTGAGTGGGTGAAATGAGGGGACGCACACGTAGAGCCGCAGGTCGAACTTGTAACCACCAATGAGCAACGGGTTCTTGATATATTTCTGCACCACCGCGTGCGAGTCGTACACCAACTCACTCAACTTCTGAAACATCCAATCCAAAAGAATTAACCCTAGTATCTAAAAAACTCGGGTCTTAACATGTGTCAAATGAGAATGCTGTACCAGTAAAAATCGAGGAAAGTTTCGGTGCCGAAGGATATGTAGCGCCGAAAAGCCGCGAGTGATATGAATGCGAATTAGATTAAATTTTGCAATAAGGAACCACTATTACTGGCCCATTTTAGAAACAACATGCATGCCATTGGTTTCCCTATGCAGATATGTACTTTCATGAGAGAGCCAGAGATAGTGGTTCCTTTTTGAAAAATGTAATCCAATTAATATTAGTAATAAAAAAGCGTATGACACTCGGCAAAACGAATAGATTCCGGAAGTGGAAGTCTTTCCATAAAGAGAATGAATTCCGTTCAGCATTCACATCCCTCGGGGTTTATGGGCGCTATATACTCGTAGACTCCAGCACAGAATTTCACTCTGACGTTTTTGACGGTGCATTCAGAAATCGAAGGGAAAGATAAGCAGAAATAGATGGAGAAGAAAAAGGAGAAGCAGAACATTTCTCGATTTGCGCTTGTTGCTTTCTTGACACATTTATTTTTTCAAAGTTAAAGATTTCCTTCGATCAAATTAGACTGGGTTATGTTGAAATATAGCTGAAGTTCTAAAACTTTATGAGTGTGCACTCCCTATGTCACTTTTATCTACTACTTGACTTACTTTAAAGAGAGTGATTCCGCGACCTTGGCTAAGACCCACTGGCTTACAAATCCATACGTCCTCAGATTGTTCGCCATTTTTTTGTCTGCTATATTCGCTGACCAATTTTGTATAATCTAGTGGCAGGTTGTAAGCGGCAGGGCTGAAAAAAATAATAATGATGGATTAGTTCTTATTTTAATATTTTTAAGCTCTCTACGAAGCTCTTCAAACTTACCGCAAGCACGTGTCCCACAGGTTGTATTGGGCCAGCACATTCGAGCTTTAGATGTAGAGCTACACATAATAAAAAGAATAAGACATCAAATTGGAAATAAGAAAAAATCTAGTGTCAATCCAGCCGAAGATGGGAGAGACGTATTCGGGCCTCGTTTTTTTAGCTTCTCTCGCGAATCTGCGCGACACCTCATCGGCAGCATGTAGCGGAGCATTGCGAATTCACGCCTCGCGCCATCGCGCCTTCAATTTTGCAGACGCAGCACGGACATCCATCGAGCACGAATAGTTGTATCTCTGCGCCGTCATCAATTCGCATCCTTTCTCTTGCTCTATTTCCATATTGTGTTGGTTCCGTTAGTTTTATTTGTAATTTTGCTACAAGGGCCACGTGAGTAACACAGCCGAAGATAAGAGAGACTTAATCGAGCCTCGTTTTTTAACTTTGAATTTCTTCCAAATCTGAGCGACACCTTGCTAATAGCCTAGAGCAGAGCATCGCGAGTTCACGCCTTACGGCACAACCACGCCTACAATTTTGCTTACGCAATATGGACACCCATCGAGCACGAATACTTGTATCTCTGCTCTGTCATTGACGTGCGTTTAGGTGTCTTGTATGTTTGAAATGTGAGGAAAAATAAGGGTAATTTTGTTCAGGGTCGGATTAGAGTTCCGGGCCCCGAGGTACTCGCAGGCACAAAAGGACCGCTTATTTGCGGTTTGCATACTTTCTAAATTGAAAGCATTTCACCTGCAACGACTTGCTGAATCCAAACGAAGGCTCAGAGAGTTCTTCTAGCTAAAAGGGGGAGGGGACTCCCTGAATCCGACTCTTTTTTCGAAACCTATATTTAAGAAAATTGCAAAATTTCCGCCCCCTCCTAAATTTGCCGCCATAGGCCGCGGCCTCTGTGGCATCTACCCCTAAAACCGACTCTATTGGTAGGTCATGCTCCTGTTCACTGGGTCTTTTCATAGAGTACATAGAGTCGTAATGTAAGTTGGAGAGCTGGCGCTACTTTTAAGCATTTTCCATGTCCCGAATTCCGAGACTCCTGTGTGACGCCGGGTCACTTTTTCGATACATAATCGATTGTTTGCGATACACGGGTACCCGGCCATCCGATGACAACAACAACAACAAAAAAGGAGATAGGAATCACCACGTATTCCACACCGCCATTTTGGATCGAAAATGTATCGAAAAAGTGACCCGAACTCGGCGCACACCGGGCTCGGAATTCGTCGAGCAGAACATGGCGCCAGCTCTTCCATTTACATTACGACTCCATGTACTCTATGGGTCCTTTACATATCAAAGGTCTCATGAACAGACCAAGAGCATCCTCTGGTGCGATGAAGCAAGTTGACAGACCCGTGTGTAAACAACCACGAGAACAGTCAGTGTCGAGGCGCGAATGATCGATAATCGATATTCCCCCATTTGAAGGTGTGGTACAGCATCGATTATTAAGGTGTTCGTTACGAACACCCTAATTATCGATTCTTTTCCATATGTTTAAACGGGAGGCCAATCGATACATCGCGAAGGACACCACTACGAGAACATCGATTCCGCGTGAAGTGATGAAATGCAGCTTCACAAGAAGCCGCGGGGGAATCAATTCTTCGCGGGCTCCGAGGCGGTATGATCGGAAATCAGGCTTTGTTCGGGCGAATTAGGGCGGTTGTAATGATGATAGTTTATCGAAGTTGGATTTTGGGGTTCGGAGGAGTAAAATTTACATTTTATCTATCACGGTCGCTCGTAAAATTTAAGTGACAGTGCATGTGAAGCCGCGAGGACGATTGTCGGGTGGCGTCGTCGTCGGAGAGAAGGAACAACATAGCATGCTCCATCCCCCCNGACTCACTCAGACTCCTCCTCGCTCGAAAAAGAAGGAGAGAGTAAAAGTGAAAGTAAACTAAAGAATGAAAATGAGAGTGATGCGGAAGGAGGTTCATTTCACTGGTTAAAACACACTTCATTTAAAAGAATTAGTGGGTGTTTGTCGACTATGCTGCGCTTCGTGGAAAAAATAAGCAAGAAAGCTGTGATACGTTTTTGTCAGAGAAGCGGTCAGCGGTTTTCCATAAAAGCGCGTTTTTGAGTTCCCCTAAAGAAGATGGCCACCGTTGAGATATAAAAAAAAAAAACTAGCTCACCAAAATTTCAATTTGCAATTTTGAGAAAACTACACCAACACTAAAAAAAATAAATTATAGAAAAACGATCATCGTCCTCCGTGCTTTGACATCAGAGGTATTAAATATAATAATTGTCTGCCTGGAAATTTTGATAAAATACCTGATGCGACTAATTACCTGCGATAGATGCAGTTCCCATTAATTTAAATACGTCCAATTTTTAACCCACTAAAGGACTTTTTACCAGATATTTTTGCGAGGTCTATTTTGAAGGCAGATCGAAGATTCAGGACACAGAAAGTAAAACGCCATCCGACCCAACCCGTTCTGCCGTGCCATGGAAAAACGCCACATGAGCCCTTAGACGTTGACAAATTTCCTTTGATATAGTATAAATTTTCTGGGAAATCTGTCGATATTTTTCTTCGAATTTTTCAGAGATTATTATCCGCAATCAGATCTAAATTATCTGAAAATTTCAAGAGAAAATATTCATAATTTTCCTCAAAAATGAACATTTCACCGGGGGAAAAACTCTCGAATGTTCATACGGCGTTTTTCCTTCACCGGAAAAAAACCACATTGGATCTAGAGTCCAGACTCTTGAAAACATTGACAAGAAAAAATACTCTTGATTCAATCGGATTTTTGTTTGAATCAAAACGAAATTCTCTTAAATTAAGAGGCTTGGTTCTGGATTTAAGCTAGATTCTGATTGAATCAAGAGTACTTTTCCTTGTCGATGTTTTTAAGAGTCTGGATAGATACAATGTGTTTTTTTCTCCCAGTGTTAGCAAGGCAGCACTGGCGTGTGCGGTGGAGGAAGTAGGGCTATCTCGACGAACATGATCGGCAATATTGTAGGTACAATAGCACCGCCCGATACTCGGGATAAGCCATCGAGAACCATCCGTAAGTTGTTAGGATGTCAAATATCGTTAATCCGAATCGTGCTCCCGGATTCAATTACGGACGACACACGAAATTAATAAAATCTCTGCATGTTCCGGTCTTCCGTGCAGCCCCGCCGCCGCCGATCCAGGTTAATTTAATTTGCCGAACCCGTCGTTCTGTTTAAAACGAATCGGTCTGTTTTCGGGGCGAGACGAAATCATCGATCCGACGTCAGTTTTCATCGTGTGTCACCGCTTGATTTATGTTGAGGTGACCGATGATCGTGTTCGAGGTTGAACGTGCCACGGTTATATTGGGTATCTCGCGAACTTCGCCAGACTTCAAACGATAGTTGCTACGATAAGCGTGACCACTCAAGTGTAGGCGGAACTGGGGAAAATTCTACTTATCGGTCCTCTCTGATAATTTAAATAATTTTGAGACTTCACTCCGTGACCTTTCCCAAGTAGCATGGATTGCAATAGATTGCAATTGAATCAGTGAGTTCGAAAACACACCAAATCGGGTTTTTTTCGATTTTCACTTTTTTACGGTTTAGTAACACTTATGGATAGAAGCATCTGCACGTAAAAGGAAATTTGGAAATTGCAATCGGAAGTGCTCAAATAGCGACGGGAAAAGGGAAAAATCAAAGTATTTCATTGGAAATACCAATTTTTGGCCATTTCAAGGGAAACGGGTGACCATCCGATTTTGCTGTCCTCTTTTTTCGGTTCTGTATAACTTGTACCAACAAGTTATATAAATATTCAAGCGTTTTTCAGGTCGAAAAATATAAATTTTTTAGGGCAGACTATGAAAAATCAGTATCTGAAAGTCAGTGAGAACGAAAACACACCAACTCGGAAATTTTAAAACGCTTAATTCTCTGTCAACAAACATGGTGTATCGATTTCAACTTGGTGCTTTACAAAGTCTCTAAGTACTTGTCCTTCGGCACCAAAAAGGTTTTTCTTAAACTAACTTCTTCGCCCGCTGCGCAGTTTTAAGTGTTTCCTGAACAATTTCTTTTCGGAATTGGTGTGTTTTCGAACTCACTCATTCAATTACATGGGAAAATTATTGCTATCGCATCAGATCGTTGAGAATGTTGTCTATCCTCTGATTGAAGGGGCACCTCTTTTGAATTTTCATCTGGCGATAAAATTGAAATAAATTGCGTTTTTCTTTGCCCCACAAATTACATATCTTTTTGATCTCATCTTCCTGATAGTTTGATATCAGCATTTACTAATCAATAAAATGGTGTAAAAATATTGAAATTTTTTTGTACTTAATCGCAATTTTATTTAATTTTTTTGATTGCACCGTGCGACTTGGGATTACTCTTTCCTTGCAATTTCATTTGAACAGATTTTTCGGCGATTTTTCTTCTGAAAAGTCTGCGTCTTTGTAGAAATGAATGTAATGGATATACGAGGGTCGTTCCGAGAGTATAAGTTTACCTATTCAATATCTCCTAAAATAAGATAGATAAAGAAAATCTGTTAAAGGGTTGAAAAGCCCCTTACTCTAAGCTTTTTAACGCGCTGTAGGTTTTTAAATTTGGTTTAATAAAACTTTAGAAAGGTGCTCGTAAAATGCTCACCTTTTAGTGGCTCATGGCGACAAGTTCCGAAGGGTACAATAATATAATTCACGATACGATAAAACAATCATCGGCTGCATCTGCACCTTCATAAACTTATCTCTTGAGGCCACGATTTAAGCTGAATCAGCGTAAGTGCTTAACTGCATTTTCACTGTCCTAACTTCCTCTCATGTTCAGTTCCTTTACCAAAAAACTAGGTATAATTCCGTCCTGAAATTTTGTGAGTAAGTACCTACATTTGTGTGTTTTATAATTTGAGGAAAATTCAAAGAAAGTTTCAAGACGTTATGACGCATAGTTCTTCGTTCTCCACACGAAGGAACGTACCTCCATTCCAAGGTTGCAAAGTTGACACGAAAAATTCAATTTTTTAGAGTGATATGACTGTGTAATTTGTGTCCAAAATTTTGCAGATTTTGCGGTAATATCTAAAGAAAATCCAGTGAAATTTTCAGTCAGTACCACTTAACACTGATCCATTATAATGAACAAATTGTTGCAATACAGATATCAATTATGCAGCACTGCATCTTAGTTACGTTCTATCGACTGAGAGACAACGAGATCTCTGCAGAAAAAATAATATATGAAAGAAAGTTCGGCAACGTGAAATGAAGGTTGATTCTGGTTCAGTTCACCAAACTGCAATAAATAATGATTATTTTTCATGTAATTTTTCAATCAAATTTATCAAAGTAATCAAATTTACTAATTTATAGATTTCATGTAATCCGATCACTTTCCAATAGATTTGGCGGCGATGGGTGTTAAGTTAGCTGCTATGCGTGAACAGGGAAAAAAGTTTGCTCCGTTACCGTTGTCTAACTCTCTCTCGGAATGAAGTTGAGTTAAGTAGGCCTCAAACTCGATTAAATCTTACAAACTACTCGTTAAACGACGTAAAAATAAGGTAAAAGTCCCTGCTTTCGCTCTAGCACTCAAACTTAAGTCGTTGGCTTGTTTCTCAGGTGAGTACGCACGAACATAATTAATCATTTTCCTTAAAAACCAAGCCAACCCGATTCTCTTTTAAATCACCGGAATCTTTGAAGGAAGAATACTCTCTGACTTAAGATGCACTCCTGACTATATTTTGCAGCACTGTGACCAAATACGTACATTTATGTGACAAAAAGTTGATGATGCACAACTTTCCCACGAATAGTTGTATCTCTGCGCCGCCATGAACGCGCGTCATTTTCTGTGCTGTATTTCCATGTTTTATTAACTTTGTTTGTCTTATTTGTAATGGTGCTTCAAAGGCTATGTGAGTAAACACAGCCAAAGATAAAAGAGACGTAATGGGGCATCGTTTTTATTTTAGCTTCTCTCCCGAATCTGAGCGGTACTTCATCGGCAGCATATAGCAGAGCACTGCGAGTTCACGCCTCGCGCCATCCTGCCTTCAATTTTGCAGATGCAACACGGACATCCATCAAGTACGAATAGTTGTATCTCTGCGCCTAAATCGTGAAATCCCACGTGAATCCCTCTTTCCTTCTTTTCTTTTTTCTTTTTCTTTTGCTTTTTTTAATATGTGTCAAACAGTGCTTCGCATAGCCTTCCAGAGACATTACGATGGGTCAGAATTTGTTTTAAAAATTGATTTTCTAAAAATATGTGGTGGTCCAAGCTTTCAGAGATTTATTCATATTTGTTTAAACTCTAAATGCCACCGAGACCCCGTTTCGAAAATTCAAAAATAGGATCCGTTTGAAACGATGTTTTGGCGGGGTGAGATGACGTAATGAGGTGGAAGGGTATCTGTATCACTCTGTTACGTCAATTCAAATGTTGACGTTGATTGGACAGGCTTTAATGAGTTTTTCCTCCCTTGGAAACGAATTTTTCAATGGACTCTTTGGTCTTTCCACGTAATTTTACCAATGAAAAATTATACTACAACTCTGCAAAAATTCCTTTCTACTGCCCCATTTCAGGCATCAGAGTCCTCCAAAATCCTCTTAGGGAGAAACAATTTTAAGAAGGCTCGCACCAAAAGTTGAGCGCAAGGATACAGCGACCGTAAATCCGGCGAAGAAACCTTAGGCTCGTGGGAATAACGGCCCTGACTGGATTTGGAATAAGTGAGTCGGTGGCAAAAATGCGAAGCCTTGTATCTCCATTGCCGCGTCTGAAAGTTTCCGCCTCTATTTTATTTTTTAAGGGAGCAACAAGCTTATTTTCAAGGATGGTGTTATTCGGCGGCACCGCACCGCCGAATAACCACTTCGTATTTTCAAAGCTTTATATTCAAAGCTTTTTATTTTATATATATTTTTTTTTTCATTTTCGAAATTGACCCATGGCCGGATTTACCTACTTGCCACCCATGGGCCGCCTGTATTTTGCCGCCCTCTTCTCATTCATTTTGAAACATCAATAAAAACCATCAAGTGAACGTGCCGGAGGGAGAAGGGTGCATGAGACGCGTTCACTCGTGTTGGACACATTTTTTGCGTAAGCCCGTCAACACTACTAGCAAAAGTTCACGGAACTTCGCGCGAAAGTTCAGTTCCGTAAACCTATCTCTGAGGGGACAAGGCCTTCCATTTGTAAGAAATGAACTAAAAAATTTAGAAAGAACAAACATACATGTGGTTTAATAATTTTAACTTCCGCCGCCGTGCCACGCTGACCACACTGTGTTTGGCGCAGTGCTTGAGGTATTCATGTAGTCTTGTAGGCACTGTGCGTTTCACGCCGCGCCGACCGCTGTTGACCGTACTGTGCTTGACGCAATGCGTGAAGTATTCATGCAGTCTCGTAGGCGCTAATATGTGTTACATGCCGACCGCCGCCGCGTCGGGGGCTTCTCCTTTTCATCTCAAAGTCCTCGTCATCATTTCTCTTTGCGGTGCGCCGCTCGAGGCCAAATTACGTGTTTGGTCTCTCTCTTAACTCAACTATTTAAAGGTGCGCAGTATTTTGTATTACCGAAATACGACAAAATTAGATATTAATGAAATCTCAGGAAATTAGAGATTTTGTCACCTTTTCTTGTTTGTAATTTTTTTCTGAATCCGATTTTTTTTTGTACCTGCATTTAAAAAAATTGCAAAATTTGCCGCCCCCTAATTTTGCCGCCATGGGCCGCGGCCCATGTGGCCACCCCCTTAATACGGCCCTGAATGGACCGCGTTCAACATAAAGGAACCGAGCCACATCAGCTATTGCCAAATTTAATCGGGTAATTTAATTTTTTACACGAAAACGGTTGTGCGGATTTTGTGTAAATTTTAGTGAATTTTCTGCACTTTGCAAAGCAAATTTATTAAAATTCTGAAAGGAATTCGCACAAACGTTCTCTTGTAAAACGTTGCATTGCCCAATTAAATATGGCAATAGCTAATGTGGCTTGGTTCCTTTCTGCTTAACAAGGTCCAAATATATTCAGAATATTTCGGTGACAGAAAAGAAAAATTAAGGAAGTTTTCAAGAAATTACGTCGAGTCGTTTGTCGAAGATAAAATAAAGTATGGCAGGAAGTCTAAAACGCCGCAAATGGAAATACGCGGTTTTGCACTTTGGCCATCGAAATTTTGAATTGGTAGCTCCCTGTTGGCGTCATTGGTTTTAACCACGGATACCTCGATACAGATGTGTTGGATAAAAAGACTAAATTCTTGAACATGCATTCCGTTATTTCACCACTTTTTCTCCATGGGTCGCTCGCTCGATCATACTTTATTCAAATCAGGAGCGTAGGAGCGAAGGGCCCGGTGCGTGACTGGAGCCAGTAGTGATGTTTGCTGACACTCCTGCATGCCAAATCAATGCAGAACTGTTTCGCGAATCTTGTTGAAATGATTTATAGACCTTACCTAATCATCACGCAATTTACTGGTTCGACAGACGCCCCATTGCTCTATATACCCTGCATTTGTATGCTGAACAGCTGTTCTGCCGTGTTAAAGAAAAATGCCGTATGAATACTCAGTTGTTGCCTAATGTCTGCTCACAAAAACCGATTTTTCCGATGATTTATTTTTACTTTCATTTGCATTCTTCTCAGAACAGTTTTCCCAATTCAACATAAAAAGTCTTAAAATGTATATTTAAAAAAGTTCATAAATTTTCTGGAAAAGAAATATTTTGTCAGAGGAAATTTGGCAACGCTCGAATGGTGGCACGACTTATTCTTAACATAGCAGTAATCACAATTTTAAAGGCTATTCAGTAATATGAGTTACGATACGAGAAGGCCTATGGATGGCTTGTAGTGACAGTTCGTTTACAATTTTCGAAGGGACACGAGAAGATCTCAAATCCCCTTCAATCCGCTGAATATGCAAAATAGTTGCTTAATCTGGTTCCGAATTCAACTGTGGTTGCTGTAGTACTTCAACACAGCGGATCAGAATCAAATTTTTTTGTCCGCGATTTAGGAATGCAGCCCAGAAATATCCTACCTTTTACAGCTATTCAGAGGCAGGACAAGGACTGAGGAAAATTCAAAGATTTTTAAAGGGTTTTTTTTTTTTTTTTTTTTTTTCAAGGATTAAATCATCTTCAGAATGAATTTGGAAGGTAAGTAACCTAGTGATGATGAGACCTTCGTGCATATACTTAAACGATTATTGATGGACGCAGAGCAGAGAACATGAAATCATTCGAGAAATCTAAATCGCAAGAGTCTGTTCTAAAATATCTCCGAATGAAAGAGTCACAAAAATTACAACAACAAAAATTAAACAAGAGCCACTGCTTTTTCCATATTCTTTTTCTATTTTTTTCCGGCGAAGCAAGAGATATACCGCTTAATTTATCCGTGTAAACATACATACGCGAAATGAAAGCACCCATCCAAAGTGAGCCATTTTTTTTTCTTTTCTATTTCAATTTATATTTTTACCTTCTCACGTTTCTAAATTTTTTGCCCTGTTTCTCCCTGGACAATACACTTTTGTATTTCGTAAGCAATGATGGTACTTATCAATATAAGTAAATTAACATAACTAGGGCTAAGGAACAATAGCGCCTAACTGAAAATTTTGGCGAAAATGAGTTAGGGATTCTACCCCATTCTACAGAATAAAATACGCAAGTTGATGTTTTTTGTTTTCACCAATTCTTCAAGGAAGCAATGTAATGACACTGTAATGTATGAATTATATGCAAATCTAACATTAGTACGATATTACAAAAATGGCGACATTTTCTCTTCGTCCTACAAAAATTGTCCGTTTGCAGATAGGCGCTACTGTTCCTTAGCCATCGATAAGTAAAACCTGTTCTGAAAACATTCTCTCACCTGAATGCAAAAATAGTCCCGAAGACTTTCTTCATACATTTCAAACACCTCGTCAGATTATCTTTTCTGCAAATGGCAGAGCCTTTCGGTATGTGATTTGTGAACTGGAAAAATGAGAAGCACAAAAGTGAAACTGGGAACTGAGCCACGTCCCGTATGAAAACATGCGCCTTAGCGTGATAATAGATTGTATTCGCGTTGACTGCTCAGTGCTCAGTGCTTATTCCACGTGTTCCCAAAAGGGACTCATTCTTATGCAGATTTTATCTCCCAATGACAAACCTCCCATGTATCCTAAAATGTTATGTGTTATATTAGATAGAAAATTTCGATGGGATCATCGACAATTTCAATAAAGGATTCAACCCTGCAGACTAATTCAACTGTGTATTATAGTCAATTTCTGGGCAGATTTTATCTTCTGATGACAAACCCCACATGTATCCTTTAAAACAACCTTTAGTAAATGTTATGGTGGGTATAACATTTTTATGGGGCTATTGAATGAAATGATTCTATTCTTCAGACTCATTGAATCATGTCTTATTGATGATTACAGCGTAGTTAACCTCAACCACATGAGTACCGTAAGGAGCATATAATACTGCCGTATGTGTGTATGTATGAACCGCTTTTACGGCGCGCTAGGGCGCTCTGCGACGCCTATTCTCCACAGGAATCTGTCATGGTAGAGATCCTCCGGAAGGTGGCATCTCGCCATCTCTTCATGGATGCCCTCTACCCACCGTTTGCCTGGACGCCCTCTCCGTCGCCTACCTGGGGGGACCCACTCCAACACCTTCTTCGGCAACCTGGTATCAGCCATTCTCTGCACATGCCCATACCATACCAATTGCTTGGTCATGATATCGTGCACAATCGTCCCCTCAACGCCCATTATCTCTCGGACACGTTCATTCCTGACACGTTCTCTCCTCGAGATTCCAGCCGATCTTCGCCAGAAATCCATTTCGGTCGCCTTGAGCATTTCTTGGGTCCGCTTCTTCAACTGCCACACTTCACTGCCATAGGTGATAATAGGCTTGACAACCGAGTTATAAATTCTCTTCTTGTTGTCTTTGGAAATCCTTTGGTCCCAAAGGATCCCATTAAGCATGGCGATGGCTTTCCTTCCTAGATGATTACGGTCCCGAATGGCCTGATCCAGCTTCCCATCCGAAGTCAGCTTCACCCCCAGGTACTTGTATTGTTCGCAACTTTCTATATGTTGACCATCCTCCAGGACTATGCTTTGCTGAGCACCTCCGACTGACATCTTTTTTGTCTTACGGACACTAACCTCGAGGCCCCATTTGCGGTACTCCTCCACCAACTTCCGGGTCATATACTCCGCGTCATCGTGATCTTGACTTATGACTACCTGGTCGTCAGCAAAGCATAGGGTGAACAGTGTTGCTTGGTCATTTAGAGGGACACCCATGCCGGCACACTTTCTTTTCCATTCCTTCAGAACGTGCTCTAGATATATCTTGAACAGCGTCGGTGACAGACAACATCCCTGCTTAAGCCCCTTAGTGACAAAAAAACCGTCTGAAAGCCTTCCTTGGCACTTAATTCTAGCAAAAGCCCCCCGATAAAACTGCTTGACTGCCCCAATAAGTCCTTTACTAAAACCAGTTTCTTCTAGGACTTCCCAGAGTTTCACAAGAGGAATACTATCATAAGCCTTTTCAATATCCAAAAACACTAAATGAAGCTCCTGGCCAACAATTCTCTTCTTTTCGGTTAACTGGGTAACACAGAACAGATGATCAGCGGTAGACCGACCAGCCCTAAAACCTGCTTGCTCCTCCGCCTCGAACGGGGTCCACTCCTCTTCGATCTTCGCTTTCAACACTTTTCCATAAATTTTACTTATCGTTCCTGTCACCGCTAACCCTCTGTAGTTCCCACAGTCATCCTTCCTTCCTTTTTTATGCGACGCTGTTATCCAGGCCTCTTTCCATTCTTTCGGGATGTCATCACCGTCAATGCACTTCTGCAGCAATAATACTGCCGTGCTAAGGTAAAACGCCGTATGAACCTTTAGGCGTTGTCAAATTTCCGATGATGAAATCCAAGTTTCCTGGTTGTAAACATATGAATATCTCTCTTCCAATTTTTTAGATATTTTTGTTTGCAATTTGACCTTAAACTCCAGAAAATTTCAAGGAAAAATGTTCATAACTTTTCTCCCAAAGAAACATTACATCGAAGGAAATTTGGCAACTCTCGAATGTTCATACGGCGTTAATCCTCAGTACGGCAGAATAGACTATCCATTTTTGAGCGAATGTTAGCGATGAGCCGACATGTTTATAGTTTCCATTATCAATTTACTCATTTGTTATCCGAGTTTTTCTTTTTCTCTTGATTCAATCGTACATTTTTATGCCAAAAAAACCATGTGAAAATGAATTGGATCAAAAGGAACCTCGTGCATACGGTTTGCGCCCTCCAAAATTCCCTCTTATTTTATTAATTTGCAGATAGTTCCTTTTAGCATATAGCCATTCAATAATTATTTATGCTTCTGCTGACTGGAGTAAATGCATATACGTCAGGGATATTAAAAGTTTTTTCAGTAATACTTGCATCCCAAGTTAGCCCCCCCCCCTCTTCCGGTACATCTAGATCGCTATCGGACGAGTTTTCATTTTCCGTTTTTCAAAAACAGAATTTTACGAAAAACCACCTTTCCTATAATTTTGGTACCAGGTTTCCATTCCGGCTTGCCGGTTCCGGTGGACCCACAAAAACTCTTCTGGGACTGCTTTCGCCCTTAGTGAAAGAGATGACGGAAGAACTCTTGGTTCCTGTGATTATTGATACTAAGGAATCGCTCTTAAAAATATTAGAGCTGAGAACTCACCTGCCACTTCTTGAGTTGCCTATAGTGGGAAGCAGGAAATCCGTTCGTTCGCCACCAAAGATTCCAGTTATCTTTGAACAATCCATTGTCATTGTACTCTCGCCAGCCTCTTTCTTGGCAAACCTAAGAGTTGAATTCAAAATCTGATGATTGATACACTGAAAAAAAGCTCCAGTTATGGAAGCCGTGCTTACGGGCTGTAATTACAGAAATAGCTACCGTTCCGGGTTCAGCACAGAAAAAAATAGATGGTGCTGACGACAGACCCTTCTGTTCACAGGAATCCTGCACTTCTTTTGTAACAATCACAGAAGCTTCCGTTATGAGGACCGATGGCTCTGTTCCCACACCGAAGTTCTGTTCTCATAACAAAAAATTCTGTAAGTGTAACAAAGAAACTTCAGGAGCCCTGTGAACAGAAGGTTTTGTCGTCAGCACCATCTATTTTTCTCTGTGAGACGCCAAAAGTTCCGGGTGCTGGAGTCTTAGCTTCGACTGTTCCGGGTTTAGTAACCAGGGCAACGGCTGCTACAGTGCTACACCCAAAACTTTTGACTACTGAGACAGTAAAGAGGCGTGAATGATCAATTATCGATAATTCCTCACTTGAAGTTGTAGTAAAGAATAGATTATTAAGGTGTTTGTTGCGATCAATCTATGCATCGATCCTTTTCCAGAGGTTTAAATGACAGATCAATCGATATATCGCAAAGCACGCCACACCACTGCTCTGAGCCCGAAACGGACAACAATGTGTAGGTATATTTTTTAAGTGTATCAAATCAAATAGGTTACACGTAATATCAACACAGAAGTGTCAAAGAGGGCGGTCACACGAAGGTCCATAATTGCAGAGGGTAGATTGATATTGAAAAAGAGCAGAAAAGAGTACATATCTTGATTCCGAGTTTGGGCAATTTCGGAGGCGCCGAGATAGTTATACCCTCCACTTTAAAATTTGAAATTTTGAAAATTTGACTCTACAATCGGAGCTCTCTCTGAAAATCACCGTCGATTGGATGAACAGTATGGTTTGAGGATAATGATATGAGTATGGTTAATCATCACCAGACTCGCCTATAGTATAGCAAAAATCTCAACTCTAATCGCACTTACCAAAAGTATAGTAAATGCTACCGGATGTCTGCTTATCCGTACCCTGCATTATCACTGTGTCAAAGATCAAGTAGACTATTGATAGGATTTATTAGACCTTTGGTAAAATTGTTCATACTTTTTTTTCAGTGCAAACGAGGTATATGGTTTGAGAGTTTCACTGTAAACGAGTTACGAAGCAAGCATTGTAGAGGAACGAGAGACTCTTCAATGCAGAAGACGAGGTTACTTCATTCTTTTCCGATAATTCGTGACCAAAAGTACGCAAAAAAGTTTTATGCTCAGCGTACCTGCAGAAGTAAGTTGGGACCGCCTCCATTGTCGTTGATTCGAAAAATGAATGGGCCATCGGCGACGTTCATGGTTTTGGCAACTCACCAGGCAGCCATGGGGCCCTGAAAACACGTAAGGTTCATTTTATATAGAGGTGGTCAATTTAGGCCGTACGGACTAATGGCGAGGCGTGAATGATCGATCATAGATATCTGCCCATCTGAAGCTATGGTAAAGAATCGATTATTAAGGTGTTTGTTGCGAGCACCCTGTTTATCGATCTTTTCCCATAGGTTTAAAGGGCAGATCAATCGATTTATCGCAAAGCATGCTACGCCACTGGCATTGCCTCTTCTCGTGCGAAAAGAAAAGGATCGTCTGAGAAAATTGCGACCCTTTTAATGTTTCATTCCTCTTTCAAGCAGAATCGAGAGGCTTGGAGCACAAGGGGCATAAGTGCACTGTTGCCATTTCGAGGAATACGTGTTTAAAGTTTCAAATTACATGGAATCTTGCGATGGAAAGGAAGCGCAAGCTTTCATTCTGATGAATAAAAATTGGATATTAGTAGTGACTTTTCCACAGAATTCGTATATTTTAAGAACAGTTTTTTTTTTTTTAAAAAAAAAAAGATCTCAAATATCTCCATTTTTTCAAAAACTCAACTCTTGCACCTTGTCCTCAAAGTCCCTCGATTTATCATTTTTACAACCATACATTTTTATGAGAAAATCTGACAATTCTCCGCAAAATGGCAGCACTTTTAATACAGCAATTTCCCTCGTGAAATTCGAATTCCCTAATTTTTGCCCAAATTTCAGAGGCTATCACAAGAACTTATTGAATTTTATTTCACATGTCTGGTCTCCCACTCTCGCAGAAGCTTCATCAGCAGTGGCGTGGCGAGAATGATCGATTATCGATATTTCCCCATTTGAAGCTATGGTCTTTACCATCGTTTTTTCATCGTTTACAATCGTTTCTTTAAACGATTATCAAGGTGTTCGCTGCGAACACCCCATTTATCGATTCATTTCCATATGTTTAAATGGTAGATCAATCGATATATCGCAAAGCAAGCCACGCTACTTCATCATCCGCAAAACTGGCGACTATGCTGGCATGTTAAGCAGGATTGCCATTTAGCATGATAAATAAGACTACTCATAATGTTTCTTGTGGAAAAATCCAATTAAAAATCCAAAATCAATAACGTTTGTTAAATTATTTTCCCCGACAGAGGCCGACGACCGAGCGGTGAATATATTCACTCCTCTGATGTAAGAGCGTATATCACTTTTGCCTTGAGCCTTGATGTCCGTATAACTCCGTGTTTCTCGCGGCTCACTTGGTAACGGAAAGACGTTCTTACGTCAGAGAAGCGACGATATATCTTCTCTCGTCTCTTTGGCGCGGGAGGACATGAAACTATTTCAGCCTTTCCACGTCAGGTGAGGAAATGAGCGAAGACATTTTTAAAGGTGTTGCAGGCACGCCATGATATTGTTTATCTTTTTCTTCACAGATTTAATGCATATTCGTTCGTAAGGTGATGTTAAATCTTGACTTGACGATATTTTGTAAGAAAGAATGTGAAAATTCTATAAGTTAAGTCTATTGATAGAGTTTCATTCTTTTGAGTAGAAAAATTTGACTAAATTTTGCAACTGGAACTACTAAATTTGGCTCATTCGCAGGAGTAACTTTTTGCATAGAGAGACAAATGACATATATTTTGTTTTGTGCAATGATCCGAAAATTTTATTTCCCTTTTCAAAATGTATAGGCTAATTGAACTGTTATGCTAAAGGGAACCAGGGACGGGTCGGAAAGAAGGAGTGTGCTCGGTAGTTAAGGGCCGTAAGAATGAATGGGAATTATAAAGCGCCAGTGACGTCAGCATCGACGATGGGGACCCACATGGGGACGGGAATGCTCTTTAACTCATGAAACCTGTTCACAACGCTGTTGTTACATGCCCGCAGCTCATGAGTTAGCATATTTTGGCGTTGGCTCCTTTCCATTTAATGTTAAATCCCACTTTTCCATTTTCTCAAAAGGAACCCCGTCCACTTTTACATTGTTTCTTATACAGCTTGCGAGCACACCCCATCTTTCCCACACGTGTGTAGTTCATTTTAGTATAAATACGTCTACTATACCATGTGAACTTGTACATATACGACACTGCCAAATGACAAAAATTCCGGGATGAACGCGGAAAAAAATATATTAAAAATATATAAAATAAAAATATATAAAATTAGCTTGTTTCTCTTAATAAATAGGAGCTGAGTTTTTGAAACATCGCAATGGAGATGCGCGATTTCGCACTTTGGTCATTGATACCCATACCTTGCGTCAAGAACATATTTTACCAGGGGAAATTTGGCAACATTCAAACGTTCTTACGGTCTTTTTCCTGCGCGGCAGATTAGCTCGTCGCAAACTTTTTGACAATGCAACTAAATTTTTATCATCGGAGCGGGCTGAGCGGCTTTAATTACGAGGGAGTCAGGTTGAATTAGTCTAAGGATCCGGTAAACGACTGCGGTGCGCAGTGGTGGCATGTCTCGTGCTTCCACAGCGTCACCAAGTCTCCGTGATAGATTTTTTTTCGATGGGTCAGTTGCGCTAACCAGAGATTCGCGTTTTGATGGTTTGGACTGGAGGGTTTGGATTCGATCGACATAAATCGGTTGGAAAAAAACATGGACCTATCGAGATCAATTCGATTGACCAAATTCGACCGATCCACAAGTTCGTCGATCGATTCACGGTGCTTTCGATCAATTCATAGGGTTTTTCGATTGACTCACGAGTTTATTCGATTGAGTAACGGATTTATCGGTTGATTCATGGTCTTGTCGATCGACTTTTGTTGATTGATTCACGGTTGTCGATCGAATCACGTCGATCAGTTCATGATCTTATTTTCGCTCTATTCTTGTCAAATCGACATGAAACGACATTGTCGGTCAAATCGACGCCGATATTTCATAATTTGTCCATTGAATCGGTGTCGCACGGTTCACGTCGATCGATTCACGTTGTTATTTTTCTATCAATTTATGTCGCTAGAACGCATTGCAGATTAGCAAAAGGCAAAAAGGTCCGTCCGAGTGCCCATCTCTTCACGTGCATTATTAACAGCCGCATCTACTACATCTAATGCAGTAGTACATACCATTTCTTTAATCTTGAGTTTAATCAATTCGTGACACACACATCATTTGAACCTCAATATTAAAAAAAGGGTGGGATTTTCAATTTTTTACACGTTTTTTTTCCAACCCCCCCCTCCCCGGTTTGGATTTGTTACGTAAAGGCTGCGCTTCACCCCCTTCTTCCCTTGTAACGCACCGTAACGCTCGCCCAAACCCCCCTACCCCATAAGTGCGTCATGTAATACTTTAACGGTCCCCATGTCGTGCTCGGATGCGCTGTTAACCCTCTGTGATTCGAATTTCAGTTTTACGCTGATTTTATCGCATATGGCGAAATCACCAACTCTGTACTACAATTACGATCTATTTTCTTCATAAACGCCATAGATTTCGATTTTTGAAATCACGATTTTCCTCCACTCGGATGGATGTTTTTGACTACAGAGCGAACGGGTCAGTCAAACACGTCGACCCGAGAGGAGGGAAATTGAAATCTGAAAATTAATTAATATCATTGACTGATAAGTCAGGCAACGCTGGTTTAATGGCGAGGAAAATGCCTTCGTGTCCGCCCCGTCATCGCGAGAATGTGTGAGTATTTATTGAGGGTGTGTGAGTGTCAGCGGGAGCTTATTTTATTAGTTGACGTTCGCTCAACACGTGTTAAGTAATCTTTGAATCATCTAAATTGAATTGGCGCGCGTCATGTAAACGCTGTGATAATATCTGTGCCGTAAAATAGGGATTTTTTGGCCATTTCTGAGATGAATCCTGTAATTTTGAATCATGATTTAATTGGTTATAGAACAAAGACAATGAAGCAGTGGCTGCGTCTTGGTATGCAACTGATATGTGTCATGGCATTCTTAGAGAAAGAAAACTAATTTGGGTGCCGCTTTTATTGGGTTTTCAAATGATGCAACTATTCGGCCTCCGCGGACATTCTAGCAAGTATCTTCTCACGATGAAGGCGTTTCTAATGCCTCGTCACTATTCACAGCGACTTGTCGCAACATTGCTTGTCAATAATATGTAAACTTGTTACGTTGAATTGTAAATGATGGGATCTCTCAAAAAGGGTGTCGCCGCGTGACACTTCGATCGACAAAATTCGATCTAATATATATCTCTCTGCATTGGAACATTAAAAGCACATTGACGGCGAAACTCCGAAGCACGTATTTTGTTTGCAGTGTTTTAATATCTCCCGCTCCTGCTTTTTTTAAAGGATAAAAAATTAACATTACTCCTTGAGGTATTCTCAGAATTGGCCTCGTACAGAAAAGAAAAGTCTCGAAAGTTTGTCATAGAGTCCCTTTATACTGAGAGTTAAGACAATATATGTGAATCCATCTCTGACTGGTTACCGTATTTAGGCCTCCACAGTGTCACAAACGGGAATAAAGATTGCATTTTCACCAATTGCGAAGATTATAATCTGGATTGGACCGAGGAATTACGGGTTCAACAAGGAAGAAAGGGAATCAGAGAGGGAACAGGAAAAGGAATTTGAGCACGAACCGATCAAAGATTACGAAAAACGTCCAATATGTGTAATCTTTATTCCCGTTTCTGACTCCATGAGGGGGTGTTGTCTTTACTCTCAGTATAAAGGGACTCTAGTTTCTAAAAATGGACTTTGGGTAGAGTACCTATATTGAGAGAGTATGGCCACTGGTGTTACCACCTCTGATTGGCTCTGCTATCTTAGGCTGAATGGAGCCCTTAGGACCCAAAAATGGCGGACTTCATAAATTAATGTAATGCAAAATGACTCAAAATGTAGTCTTCTTTGCTTATCGTAACGAGAAATTTACTCAAATGCACTATTGCGACTTCTTTACATATTTTTAAGGCTAATCGTGTGCAATTTTTGAGAAAAATTATCTTAGATGTAGTAAGGTTGGCAGCAAGTGCGGTTGGTGATAACCGTCAAAAGTTGGCAATAACCCTCC